TTGGTTACAGACACTGGCTCTTCCTCTTCTCCCACCAACCCCCACCCTCCTACTAACCCACACCTCTGTGACCAGGATATCACTAGTTCCTCAGATAGTAACCTAGGCCCAACCATCTCCAGTAGTGATGTTCACTAATGGTTGCATGGTATTCATTTCCAGTTGAGAGCCCTCAGACACTGAACCAGGCTAACTCTCTTTCAAAATATAGGAAAGAACTTGCACTTATCATGTGTATTTCATGATCTCAGCATACTCCTGCGGATGTTCTAAAGTGCTTTCTGACAAATCAAGTATTTTTAAATGGCGTTCCAGATTAGCTTGCTGCAACATAACAATTTCATATCGACTATGCTTGACTGTAATGTCTCAAATTGATTCTTTCTTCTCAGTTTTATTTTCGTCTACTGCACAGCTCAGTTATTTATCACTTCAATCATCACATGGGATGACTTTATAACACTGTGTTTTCAGTTTTCATTACAACTTGTGTAGTTCACAGTGAGATCGACCTGTTTTCTTTCTTATAACCAATGTCCCACTGTGGCAAACATTAGATTATGGGTAAAGATCCTACTGGACTATCTCAATAATATGACTTAACAGAAGTCCTGGGCAAGCTCTAAAATACATCAGATTGACATATCCATTTTTCTCAAAGTAACATGAGGAATCTGAACATGATATCTGGGTTTGTCCCTTATATTCAGGTCCATGTTTAAATTACTACCAGGCACTTGTAAAGTGCATTGGGGTCTGGGTGAACAATTCCTTTTGCATTAGGACAAAGCTTACTAATGAGGCATTGAACACAGCTGACAACCAGCCAACATGGCCAACTGCTCCTGCTCACATCAACTAAATGTTGTATTAACCTGATTATGGAAAGCAATATAATTTTTCAGAGGTACATGCATGTTTGTAGCTTGCTCTAGAGCACAGAATTTTTGCTCTGTGAGGAAGAAGTACTTTCAAGACTGGCTGTGCCCCAAAACAAAATACAGATGTTGCAAGTTTTATTAGTCCTGTGATTGACTTGCTTTTTTTTGTTGAAAGAAAAAGATCTACAATGAAGAAACCAGTAGAGACTTTGCTGTTTATTTCTCACACAGGCTATTGTTCACTTATTATTTTTGAGGTCTCATGCGGGATTAGTTCCATCACTGTGGGTTGAGAGCCTTCTTTCTTATGAAGTGAAGGAAGCAAGTCATGCCTTAGACTAAGTAGACTGATGCCTCTTGCAATCCAGGTCCCATTCTCTTTGATAACAAAGTGTGGAGCTGGAGGAACACAGCAGGCCAGGCAGCATCAGAGGAACAGGAAAGTTGACGTTTCAGGTCAGGACCCTTCTTCAGAAATCAGAAGAAGGGTCCCAACCCGAAACGTCAACTTTCCTGTTCCTCTGATGCTGCCTGGCCTGCTGTGTTCCTCCAGCTCCACACTTTGTTATCTCTGACTCCAGCATCTTCAGTTCTTGCTAAACCATTCTCTTTGGCCTGTCTCTGCTAGTTAGTATTTTCACATTCTGTAGGAACTGTACCTGCTTTTTGAATGAATGACACACTCAATATATAGATGGTGTTAAGTTGGAGTAAAGAAAAGTCTTTTTGCTTTTGTTAAAGGGGCATTATTTACCTCATTCTTTTCTCTGGGAAGATCTGGTGCAACGTGGCTAAAATCTTGACAGACTCTATTCAGGAAGACAATTAGCCAAAGTAGCATGATCTACACTTATTAATTTCACAATCTTGAGCAGTTATGTTGACTGATCCTAAGCAGTATAGTGTAAATAACAAAAAGAAGTATATTCATCATCTATAGTTCATATCTCCAAACTTTGCATACTAGTCCTAACATTGATTACACAAATTATTCCCTTGAGAATTAATTATTATTTTTTTCAGACATGGATTGACATTCAAAGTGAACAAGACATTACACTTTCTCCTCTTGACACCCTTTATCCGTTGTGACAGGTCCTTTTTGCAACACGAAAGCATGACTTGGTATAGTTCATGTCATCATGTGACCCTTTCGAAAAATATATATTTGTTTAATGGTTGACTGTTCACGCTACTGAATTGGCATCCATGTCTGTAGAATCTTTACTCCCAAGAGGATGATTAGTCCAGCAGACACCCTGCTTCAAAGTGTTTACCAAATCTAATCTGGACTAACCTTGAGGATATATTGCCGAATAATCTTAAATGACCTCTGGTATTCTTAAGTTTAGGGAATGAATACGATGTTGAATCATAAAACAGTACAGCATAAAAAGAAGTCATATAAAGAGCCTTATAACAAAATCAGTTCTACTTTTGCTCCTCCCACCATCTCTCCCCCCTCCCCAACACACACACACAAAAAAATTCTCTGTAGGGAACCAGCACAGTAGCTCAGTGGTTAGCACTGCTACCTCACAGCACCAGGGATCTAGGTTCAATTCCAGCCTGCATAGATTTTTTTCTTCCCCCACAGCTTCCAAGCTAACTGTTCAACTTTCTGTCACAAGGCTAAATGCCTTTCACTGTGAGGACCACAGTAGATTCCTTCTTTTAGCTTCAAGCTTAACAAAATTTCTAGCATCTTTCCGTCTCATGAATTCCGAAATGATCTGAGCCCTCGCCCATATTCCATGCAGTGAATAATAAAGTTACATTTTTCCTGTTCAAGGTTCATAACTGATGAGCAATTGTCTCTTTTTGGTCATTGATACAGTGCATTGCACCAAACCCAAGAGCAAAACTGTACTTCCTTCTCAGAGAAGCACCAGATAAATAATGGAAGCTTCTACCCCCACGGGCCATCTCCATGACACATTTAGGATGTTCCAAACAGAAATATGCAAATTATTTACTTGTTTTAACTCCAACGCCGCTGTTTTATTCCACGACCCATATGAATAATTCATAGAACAAATGGAATTTTGCAACAATCTTTTCCAGAATGGTTGTTCCTTTCAAGGGATTCTCTTGTTGGCCAACTGCCTGTAACACCATTCAACTTGGAGTTGTATGCAGAATTTTCTTTTGAAGACCACTTGGCTCCATTAAAAATCCCAAAGTTGGCCAAATTCTTTAAATTTGGCTTTGACCTGTAATAAACGTAAGATAATTGATTTACAGTTACTTCAGAGTTGTAAATCAGTTTCTTGATCAAATGTTTCCAGTTATCTGAAATTAAACATTAATTCTAAAACCACAAGGAATATTCTAAAACATATGAGTCTTGAACTAGATACATATTTATGTTTTTAAACAACTTCACCAAATTCCTTCTGTTCTTTTTTGGTCCAAACACTATTTCCTGAGTTTATCAACATAATTGTAATCCCTCATTCCTGGAACTGTTTAAAGTAAATCTCTTCTGCAGACCTTCCTAAAGATTTGAAAATAGGGATTGAACACAATAGCTCAAATGGGATTGAAATTAATCTTTTATGTAAGATTACCAAACTTCTCCGACTTTTGTAGTCCTATCTTTCAAAGATCTGTGCACAAACACCCCCGTGTCTTTATCATCTTACACCACCTTGAAAATAGTATTATTTGGCGTATGTTTTCTTCACTCTTCTGACTAGAATGAATCTCATCATATTTTTCAATGTTGAATTTAATCTGTGATGAGTTTGTTCTTTCAGCTAAACTGGTACGATCCTCAAAAAATAATAGCTTCCTCGTCGTTGACAAGATTTACAAGTTTGGCATCAGAAAATTATGAAATTTATATTCTGTCACTCCCCTGCTCCACACTTCACCAACCTCAAATATTTAACATGAACCAAGTAGCAGTCCTGGTGCCGAACCTTGGGATAACAGCTTTTTACCAGAACTACGTTCTGTATCTATGCTTCTTTATATCACATGCTTTAATTCTACGAACAAACCTCAAGTATGATACCTTATTAAATGCTTTTTATAATTCAATGTGTACAACAACTGTAGAGCCTTAACTACTCTGTTATTTCATTGAAATAGTTAACAGCAATTTTCCAACAGTTTCCCATCCTTGTCCAAATGGCTGTTGATTTTCTCCTGGCTTATTGATTCTCTAAGTGCCTCATCAGTGGCGTTAAATTGGTTGGCCTGTAACTGCCAAGTTTATCCTGTCACGAACAAGTGTCTAATATTTGCAATTCACTAGTTCTTTGGGACTAGCCTTATATGTAAGGAAGATTGGAAGATTTAGGAGTCAGAATACATAAGGATCACACACAATGTTCAGGTGTTTCAAAGCATAACACCTAAGTGCTAAGTGTTCAGTCTGCTGTTATATGAACAGGAAAGTCCGACCTCTCAGACTAGAGTATCCTCATTTATACTGGTCCAAGTAGAAGCAAAACAAAACTGTGTGCAAACTGTGAGGAAATCTGTCTTAAGTGTAATTATCAAGCATCTCTTTTTATTCCTAAAATATTAAATGGAGTACTTGGTTCTTGCAAGTGTTAACATTGGCTTGTTTTCCTGCCTCCAACGTACCTCTCAAGCAGAATTTGATAATATCTAAATTGGGAGTGTCTGCTGCTACTTAGAAAAGGGTGATGGGGAAGGTGATAAGGTAGATGAAGTTAGACCTTTTCAAAGATTTTATTTGTATGGATATGCATCAGATAAATAACCAGTGATCAATGGCCCTCTATTCGCTGCAGAACCATAGTAATAATAATTCAAAAAGAAATTTGAATTCATTCAGATTTTAAGTTGCACTAAGCCATACTACAATCCCTTGCACACGCAATTTTCATCTACTAATAGTGATTGGAAGATACTACAAACTAGCTGAGTGATTTACCATTGGCTAGCCCAGCAACTGGAGTTCTTTTTGTTTCTTTTTAAAAACACTTCAGTCTTGTTTATTTCTTATATCATGAGGCTTTTAACTTATTAAAATATAAATATAGTTTTGTCCTTAAAAGTATGGTAACTTGGTTTGATTGTCAACTAATAGAACTTGCAGATGTAACATTTTCACATTTTAATAATAAAATTGACACATTGTAGCCGCTGATGTGACTCAAGATACAGTGCAGTCATTGATGCAGAAGTTCAAGGAGAGTTTTCGAACAAACACGCCAATTGAGATCTCGCACCTCCAGCAGGCACCCCGCAGCACATCCACAGGACGAAAGAAGGGAAGGAGGAATAAAAGTAGAGGTAGGACACGCAACTGCCTTGTTTAGTATATTTCGAAATATCCTTTTGAAGGGAAGAGGTGCTGCTGGGTTTGGTGGTGGAACTGGTGGTGGTAGAATGCATGTGCTGACAACCAAACCATTCAGGTTGATTTTAATTTCAGTATTGTGGATTCTGGAAACTCTCCTGAATCAGAGTCTCTCTCTTCTTTTTCTCCCCACTCCATCTTTCTTCAGCACATCTCTGCTGCATACTCTCAGCACAACATGAGTTACAAACAGAGAGTTTAAATGTGTGGGAGCTGTGGTGGAGAAACATTCGAGGCTTTGCAACAGTGCTGTGGTGGTCTAGTCTTTCATGCTGCTTCTCCTATGCTGAACTCCTTGCTGAGAACAGGGAGTGCATTGCTGCAGTAAATGCGTTGATTTTTACAAAACAGAACCTAATAAACTGACACTTCTCATAGATTTGAAGCTCAATCTACTTCTTGGAGCAATGTTTTAATTGACAGGAATGCATAGAATATGGGCAGAAATACCTAAATTATTCATGCCCACCTTGATCTGCAAGGATATGAGAGAGGATGAACTTAACACACAGGTAAGAAAACCACGACTACGTAGTGTAACAGAGCAGTTAAATTTGCAGTTGTTGGACTATTGCATTACAGGTTGATCTTCATAAAAACATTGCCATGTTGGACTGTCTTGGTCTGAGCTCAGTTCTATGCACCTTTTGATTGGTTTCACTATAGAGCAGTATGTGGATTTATAGCATGATTTTTCAGGTGTAGAAATATGTGTCTGTCTCAGCATTCTCAATAAAGCTAAAGAAAGTGAATCAAGGGAGTGATCTCAAATGTGAAGCAATCACACATTTACAAACAGGAAACTGCGAAGAAACAGTTAATTGAAGCTACGTTATTTCTTCAGGTTTGTTCAGAATCTTTTCTTTATTTATGCCAAGCTACAGAACCTGTTCGGATTCATCTTGAACTATATACGTAGTACTAATGAAGGAAGGCAACTTTATTTATATTTCGGTAAACACAGATAAGTTTAGGGAAAGAACACAGCAGGTCAGGCAACATCAGGGAACCAGGAAAGCTGACGTTTCGGGTCTGGACCCTTCTTCAGAAATGGGTCCAGATCCGAAACGTCAGCTTTCCTGCTCCTCTGATGCTGCCTGACCTGCTGTGTTCATCCAGCTCTACACCTTGCCATCTCAGATTCTCCAGCATTGGCAGTTCCTACTATCTCTGAATAAGTTTAGGGAAGTTGGGAATGCATGCAGTGGAGAAAAGGTAACTTAACGCGGTAGGTTGATTTTACAATATAGATTATTTAAATATGAATGTGTTATTTTTCACAGTCACAAGTCTCTGAGTAATTGACATAAACTCAAACTCAGAAGTGAGAGAGGAAATGTCATTTTGCTTTATTAACTTCACACACAAACTGGTGAAAGTGTGGAACAGAGAGAGTCAAGGTGAATAACATTGGAAAATGCAAGACAGATGTGGCTAGCTTTTAGACGGAATGAGTTAATGGGTAAATGGTGAAGAATAGTATTTTTTGAACCTGATGCACATCCAGATGAACGATTGGCATTGGTTCTTAATGTCCCTGTACATAAAGTCTGTTAGAGTCACTTTTAAAGGATGCTTAAGCTGAAGGAGGAGGTCCTATGACCAAACATATTATGTAATGTACAGCTATGCACAAATGTATGAAGTTTATCTTTTGGAGCTTGACAGAACCTGTTTGCCTAAGATCTTTTCATGGTAAATCAGCAGTCCACTTATGCGTTTTCAATTTAAAATTTTGCCTGCCAGAGTGGAAGCAAAGAAATCATGCATGTTTTATCCTTGATTGGCTTCCCTTAGCAAAAGTGGAAAATAGACACGTATAATGTCAAAATGCAAAGGTAGCATACTATCAAAAAGACAAATTCTGCAAAACGAACCCCTCAGTTCAAATAGGATGTCTGGTTATCTGTATTTTGATTATTGCCGGGATTTCATTTGTAATTAGAATGATTCCAAAGATTCTGATGAAGACATTGTGAGGTAAATGCGATAGAGAACTTGAACTATGGGTCATAACTAACTATGCATCAGCTAAATCATCAGTCTTGGATAAAAAAAATCAAATATTGCTGCAAATAAAGCGTTCAAAAGCAATGCGAAGATAAATTGGATATGCATTTATTCATAGTTGATGGTGAGAATGATCATCAAACACAGATGAGTCAGTTCCCTATTGTACAATTCTCAGAACATATCAATTTGAGAAGTACTTATATGAATCAATAGGCAAGCGGGAATGAATTTCACTTTGTTCTATTTTGATTTTTATTTTATGGCTACATGCACCTTAAATTCTACTGCAAATCTAATTCAATGATGAAGGTTTGCAGTATGGACTGGAATCATATATTGATTTACTGGAGGCCTTTTGAGGACTATTGAGTCCTGAAGAAGAGTCTAGGCCGGCAATGTTGACTCTCCTCCTCTGATGCTACCTGACCTGCTGTGATCCTCCATCTCTACACTGTATTGACTCTGACTCCAGCAACTACGGTTCTTGCTATCTCCAAGTGACTTATAACCCCACTGCAAAGCCTCTTCCAAGGATGCCCACCTTGAAGAAGTTGTCCTCCTCCCTCCGGAAAGACCTGAGTGGATCTCTCTCCCACTGCAACCCTCTGGTGATCTCCTCCACCCTGAAGGTTTTTGATCACATATTGAGACAAACCCGGTACCATAGCCACATCTCCATTCTCAGTATCAGCCTATGCAGCTAGATCATCCCTAATAAAAAGAGTCCTGATGAATGGTCTAGGCCTGAAACATCGACTCTTCTGCTCCTCTGATGCTGCCTATTCCTCCAGTATTGACTCTGACTCCAGCATCTGCAGTTCTTGTTATCTCCTATAGATTTACCTACCACATGGAGACTGTTTATATTCTTCAAAAAAACATAAAAAGTAGTCTCACAACTATATATCTAAGCATAGTTGCTTGAGTGTTGAGAGATGCATAGGTATTACTACCTTAAAAAGCACCCTGCTCATCCACCTTACCCATTTCCAAACGTACAGGTAGTGCAGAAATAAAAATGAATTCTTCCATTGACCAAAGGCACAGCTTATACATTGGTCCTAGCATTCCCTCCTTCAGCATTGAAAGACCTCTTTGAGGAATTTCAGAGCATTACAAAGGCCCTTGAAGTTTATTTTTAAATGATTGTATCAAAGAATTTCAGTTGCACCAGAACCACATGTTCTGCAGCTTGGATCTCTCTTGCTTGCCATGCTATATACGCAGAAATGATAAACCTAGAAATCTCCCTTCTTGTCAACAACACACTGAAAATGTTTACCTCCACAAACATAATACAAATACAAAATAAATAACCTGAGAAAAATACAGAGGTACCATTTTAAGAGAATTTAGGTGATATTTCAGAAGGAGAACATACAGCCTTATCCTGCAATAAATTTGAAGCAAGATGATCTAGTTGAAATATAAAAATTCTTAATGGTCTTAAACGTTGGGACATTGTTTCCCCTGCCTGGGAAATTGAGAATGAAGGATCACGGTTTTGGACTGAAGCATCAAACATATAGACTCAGAGGAAGTTAATAGGCTTGAGAATATTCAAAATTCTATACCCTCGAGTTCGGCAGGTATGAAATTGTTAGGTATTTTCAAGATGTAGATTGATAGACTTTTGGATACTCCAGGAGTTGAAGATCATGGGAATCATGTAGGAAGGTGAAATTGAGACAAAAACTCAGCCATGACATTATTGAATGATGGAGCCGGCTCAAAGTGCAGAATGCCCTTCCCTCGTTCGTATTTCTTATGTTCTTAAGTAGAATCAAGTTGTTTTTCATAACAACCATTTGGAACTCCAGAATCATTTCTTGCTGGTAAGAAGACGCTGATGGAGGAAAGACAGTTCTTTATGTGGCCTGTTGATGCACAAAGGCCCAACCCACTGACAGAAATTTGTATGTATCAAGTGAAGATCACCATAAAATAAAATGTATCCCTCTGCATGATCACCTGTGCTTCCCAACCACAGCTGACAACCGAGTGGGTGTGAGCAAAAATATGGATCCACTCAGCCCCCTCCCCCCTTGCTCAAGTTGGGAAAAATATACTGTCATTGAAAATGTGTCAGCCAGAGCAGTCTAATTGCTAGCGCTAGCTTGCTTATCAATGTCCCGCAGGGTCAGCCATCTGGGACATGCTGAACCCTATCTGAATAAGATATCGATCAAAACCTCACTAGAAGAACCTGGCCCATTGACAGAACAGGCAAACAAGACTGTGCATGTGCAACACAATTGCATTACCTGAAATTAATGTCAAGGGTTGTTCAAATCCTTTAAAGTTCATTTACCATCAACTGTGCCCTAATTTATCTAACCCAGTATTGGTACTAGATTTCGATCATTGTCAATAGGTAGAAGGGATTATTCAAACCCAAGTTTGGCAGTTAAGCTAATAACCATGCAATGCTTTGAAGGTTGTCCTTTGTTTCAGAGATGGAGCACTGGGGATGTTCTTCTTCATCTAATACCATCAGAAAAGGAATAGTTGGTTATTTCTCTCAATATTATTTCTGATATTATGTTCTGAATAAAATATTTGTTGCATTGCTAACATACTTCAGTAAAACTTATTGAAAAAAAGTGTTTTATGGATTTCTGAAAGACCAGATTCAATAAGAGTGCTTCACATAGACTTAATAGTCTATTATCTTCTATTATCTATAATAAACTGGTGTTGTGTTTGACTGGCTCCATTCTTATTTATTCAGTCATAATCAGAGCATCACGTACAATGGCTTATTTTGCCTCTCTTGAGCTGTTACTGCTGGGTGTCCCACTGGTCAAATGTGGCACTCCCCTATTTCTAACCTACATGCTACGCCTTGACAAATTCATTTGTGAACTCATCAATCAACTCCTGATTGCTAATTTCACTCACCTTCGCTGAACTGTCTCTA